AGGGAAGGGAAGGGAAGGGAAGGGAGTCTTAAGTCTCTATGCCTACAAAAGGACACCATAGCTTCTCTTTACTCTGAATTTACCGGGTCGCTTGTTCTGGGCCTCCAGCTAATGATGAGCCTGTGTGTAAGATGAGGGAGGTGGGTTAATGGGTGGCTTTGTACAATGGAGGTGGAATACAGGTACCACAGGCAGGCACAGGAGGGCTGCTGGGATGGAGGAGAGAAGGGAGTGGTGAGATGCTTACAGCAAAGAGGCAAGGGTTTGGGTTTTTTTGCTCCTTATTTTGTCCCTTCCTGGTGTAGATATCTCAGACCAGAGATGTGCCAACAATGTCAGCTGGTCCTTGAACCCACCTGGGAATGGAGTCTGCAGGGACCCAGCCCCTGTGCCACCTTGCATAGATTCATTGTCTCACTCCCCACCAAGTCCATCCCAGCCTCCTGCCTTTCTGTTCACCACTCTACATGCAGTGTCTTCCAGCACCCTCCCCTGCACATGTGGGACATTCCCCTGCCCCGGAAGATCCCCGTGCTTGGAAGGTGCCACATTACCAACAGGGTGGGAAGAACAGGATGAAGGGAAAAACAATTCAAGCAAAATGGTGGTATGGACATCCATTGTACAGGCAAAGAGTGTCCCACACAGGCCCTCAGCCCAGGTGCTCAGCATGAGGTAGAACAGGGCCTGTTACCAGAACCCAGAACATCAAATGTTATTTCCCTATGCATTGGGGAAAGATGCTTGGAAACATCAAAGGGCAGAGACAAACATGTCCAGGCCAAGGACGCCCATTGCCCACTTTGTAGATGGCCTGAGGCTTCTGTCCCCATCCCCCACATCTTCAGCCCAACCCAAGTTTAAGCACTCACATCGCGCTGGTCTGGCACCAAGGAGAACCCAGCTCTACCCTGTCCCCAGGCCACCTCCAGCCCAGCAGATCTCCCTTCCCCACTACAGTTTGCCCCTCTTCCCAGGCTCTTGGCAAGGATCCTAGGAAAATCTGGGTCTGAAATATGCTCTGAATGTCAGGCACTGAGTGTCCCTGTGCAACCCCAACCTCACCCCTAATCCTGGAAAGTCTCCCTTCAATCACCCCTATTAAAGCAAGTATCTTCCCACCCCACTGCCCTCAGGTGTCTTGCCGATAAACAAGCTGAAGGGAAAGTTATTAGCTTTTATTCATGGTGTCTAAACTAAAGTAAAACATCAACGGGGTAACTGTACATAATAATAGACTAGATAAAGTCCATTTTTCTTGGGTCCTCTGAAAGCGATCCCCGAGCATTAAAACGGGTCTCTTAATAAATATCTTATCTCCTCGCCACACAGCCCTGGCTGCAGATAACCAGACAGCCATTACTGTACCTCTGAAATAACCCCATTTCCATCAGGGCCACTTCAAACAGGCTCCTCTTTAAAGACCCTCCCCCTCCCTCCCTGCGGGGAGGTGGGGGAGGCTTGAACCTCCTTGGGCAGGGGGTGGGAGCCAGCAAGGGACAGGGGATATCATCCAAGCCCCCAGGCAGAGTGGGGGGTTACTGCATCGCAATGCATTCCCTTCTATAAGTAATCATGGAGGGAGACGTTCCCTCTGCCATCCAAAAGCCTAAATCCACCTTCCCCCGATGCCTTGCATTGGGATGAGTGGTGCTGGGCTCAAGCGGTGCTGGGCTCCCACAGTCCAGCTCCCCTGGACCTGCTCTGCAAGTGGAGAGAAGGTTGGGCAGGAGAGCAGGGACACAGCAGGCAGCTGCCATCTCCTCGGGGGAAAAGGTCTTCCCAGCGTGTGCATCCCAGCCTGCAAAGTGATGCTGTACAGGTTGCACTGGACTCCTTTATTAATACACCATACAGGTGATACTGGATTTATTAAGTATATTGCTGTGATTTCACATTTAATTTACTAAGAATACAATGGTTTGGGCTAGAGGACCCAAGGGAAATCTAGGCAACAGTGAGCAAAAATCCATGAAATTCAATGTAGCACACTAATCATGGAGGCATTATAGTATTAATTGCTATAATGATATACTTCTAATCCTATCTTACACCGCACCACATAATTTCATTGGGTAAGAGACGAAAGGAATTAAATTTAGTTCAATACAAGCAAGCATGTAACTTAATAGAGTAGTTTGACTCCTGCACACTCAGGGGTTTAGGGCTAATGTCACACAACGCGGTCTGCGGCAGGAAAGAAGGACAGCACGAGACTTTTGACACCCTCACCGAAATCTGGAAGCAATATGGAAAAGTGTTAGATTTCTGCTTTTCGAGAGGCAACCCGGCCATATAAAGGATAATTAGAATTCGTTGTAAAGATGATTTATCATGTCTATCATTGTGTTTGAAAAGGCTAGGTCACCCATGAATGCTGATGAAATTTCAAAGATCTACTCCCCAAGGACTTTCCGCATCTGCTGCCCTCTGAGATGAGGAAATAGCCCAGGGCAAGCTTCTCATTAATACCGCAGGAAAATATAAGCATTTTGTCCGACATAACATTTTTCTTCAGTATTATACCTGACACGATCAGACCTTTAAATAACGTGGTAATAGGGCTCACTTTAAAGTTCATGTAGTTGGTGTCGTGTCCCCCCTGTCCCTGTTGTCCCCCCCTGCCCCAGGTTTCAGCTAGGTAGTAGCTCTCGCTAACAAGGCAGCATTTCGACCCGAAACACACTTTCTCCCGTAACAAATATTGCGTGAGGTGGGCGGAGGTGGTAAAAGTAGCTTTTGATCTTGTTTGTATAATATGCAAAAGGACATCAAAGGGAGGGAAGAGGGGGAGGGAGAGAAAGGAAAGCAGAGCAGGAATAGCCCTAGACACTGGAACGCCAAATAGCTCATGAATAGCTAAATAAAACATAATTAGGAAAACGCGATAAATTAGTGGTTCTTTAAAGAGAGAGATGGCGAGAGCGGGCTGGGAGCGGGGCCAGGGGAGGCGGGCACGTCCCGTTTCAAAGCCGGCCCCGAGGCCAACCCAAGCGCAGCCCAGACCTCGGAGGGGGGGACGGGAAAGCCCCTGAGGTGCCTCTCGGCAGGACCCAGCGGAGACACCCTCCCGCCCCCCCC